CAGAGACAACATTTTTTAGTGAAACTTAAATGAAAACATTAGAGCTAACATAAGGATGGACCTGGTTACTGCAATTCATCAGTTGCTCCAGTCATTCTGCACATTTGTGTAGTTAAGGAATCATTCCCCATATGGTCACAAAGTAACTTTAATGTATTATTCTAAGATTTGTGTTCTCACCTTTTACTATAATGCACGGCTAAATCAGTGTGTTTGAGTTACAATGGACTTGGGCTCCTGAGCTACAGATGTCCTTCTCCTATCGTTTGGGATTATAAATAGAGAAACGTTCAGAAGCATTAATATAATAATAATGTTAATATAATAACAACATAACATCAATACACTTCGAATAATGCATGCCAAATGCTATGAGGAAACTCTTACTCACAACTAAGATGTAGCTATATTATTGTTCAGTTTGCAGCCTTAATGTTTCGACTTCTACCCTTGGAAAGGTCTATGAAAAGTTACCAGGAAAATCAAGTCTTCTGCCGACGCATTGAATTCACTGCCCAGGATCCTAAGCCTCACTGAAAAATATTTAATACTTAGTAAACCTGCAGTAATTTTCTGCCAGTTTAGTCTCTGTGTGCAGACTCAGCGAGCTTTAGCTCATGATGTTGACTTAAGGGACTTCACCGAATTCCCTTCACCTTCCAGAGTGCATCCAATTCACAAGCAAAAGTCTGTCGTGTTTACCTCTGGAACTAGTTTAATTATATATTTTATATTGCCTACCATGAAAGGGATTTTCAGTGCTAAGCTGATACAGTTTTATGGATGCTGAAGGCATGGTAGGGTCTCTCAGGTGTGACAGCTATAATAACAAATTAAAACAGTGTCAAGATCAAATCCCCAGAAAATATGAACTGTAATACAGTGCTTCATATCTGTGAACTCTTCTCTCAGATGAACTAATTTTAACACAATACGAAAGATCGGAAATAAGTGCCAAATCTACCTCTACAGAGAGAGTACAGGGTACTAATGTACATATGGCAGTGGCCAAGCTTTCAAGAACTACTCCTCTCCTTGTTTATGGTACAATTTGGCCTATCCTTATCAGATGTTTTCTCAAAACAGAAAGTCCTTATACCTTTTTCAGACGGTCCTCATACATCCTCATCTTTAATTTGTTGGTGATTTTTGATGCTTCTTTAAGAAAACTTTTCCCTAGCATGTCAAATGAGACCCTGATTCTTTATATCTGCATGTTTTGCTATTCATATGTGTATCTAGTACCTCACTCCCACTAACTACATTTCTGGACAGAAGAACACAGAGGCAGTTTTATATCAATTTTATTGAGGCTCTGGTCCCAGAAGCAGTGTGCTCTTGAGCCCAGAGTAGAACAACTCCACATCTCCTCAAAACTGGACTGGTTCCTAACAGCCTTTCCACAAGCCAAATATTGCCTCAGCACACTACAGGGACCACAAGACAAGGCTGCTGGCTCTGTTCCACCTGGAGTTTACAAGCCAGACAGGAGAGATTACTTTCCACGTGCTTGGAGATGTTGATGAAGTGTAAGAGGTGGGCTGTGAGGTAGGATCTTGTCCAAATGGCCATTGTGCATACACCTATTTTGAGGACAGGAACAAATTCTTCTTGTGTTACCATTTTTCAGCTTTCGCCTTGGTATAATTCTGGCCATCAGCCTAACCTGAACACTCACAATCCTGTTTTCCCATTTTTTTTTTTCGCTTGATCTAGCTGTCCCTCTCTGCAAAGTGTCATTGTCAGAAACCATTAGCTGCAAAGCAATGGTATGAAAACCTCACCAATCACTGCTTTATGAAAACTATCCAGTTCTTAAATAGTAATTTAAGAATAAATCATTGCACAGTTTAGCATTCTCCTTGTTTGCACAGTTTAGCATTCTCCTTGTAACATATAACCAGTGAGAGGGGAAGAAATGGGACAAGTTTTCAAGTATTTCCTCAGATATTTTATTTAAAAAATGTAAAAAGATTAATAAAGCAAGCAAGGCATGAAATAGTCTGAAACTAATGAGAAATCATAGAATCATAGAATCATAGAATGACCTAGGCTAGAAGGGACCTTAGAGATCATTTAATCCAACCTCCCTGTTATGGACAGGGACACCTCTCAACTAGATGTTTAGATATAATTTGCTTCTGCTGCAACATTAGAAACTCAAGAAAAATTCAGCCCCTATATCATCTGCATGTAAAGGACAGCCATCGGATAAAGACTTTTTCTCTTCAAGTTTCCTGTCCAGGAATATATAATAATATTAGAAGCTGGTAACAATTTGTTTCCCCAAAACATTAATTAAACCTTGGTAAAAGCAGAAATAGATTTAGAGGTCACTTATTCATAAAACTTCTTGAGGAAGAGCCTACTTTGGGATATCTAGACATATCAGTGTATGTTTTCTGGTTTTCATCCTTCTTCCACTACTCTCACTGGTATAATATAACGATTTTAATGTTGTGATTCATGTGCTGCATTAACCTTGATGAAGTCAGAATGAAATTCAGTATTTCCCTCACAATGAGTATTTAAACTCTTTAAAAATGAGTCAAACAGATAACATCAACTAATGCTATAGAGTGTTTCATAAAAATCTAAATGGCTTTCTTACATTAAGACGTGGCAATATTTTATTATCACAAGAGAAAACTTTACACACCAAAGCAATTAAAATAGGGATGGAAAAAATAATTGACATTTTGTAACAAAGAGGACAATTCTGTTTCAAATTTATATCATTTAACTGCACTAATGTCAAAGTCTTGTTGACGGTAAATCTGCTGTTTTTTTCTGTTTTCTGCAAGAGTGCAGAACTATCTGCCTTGTACCTTTGCCAAAAAAACTAGTGAATATACCACCTTAATGTAGGTATTAAATTTTTGATAATATTGTGTAGAGATACAGAAAACAGAAATAATGGGAGAAGAGAGGAGCTAAGCCTAATATCTACCCATACAACTTTATCAAATGATTTTTACTACTAAGAATGTCAGTGGCAGTCTTGGAAAAACTTTAAGCCCTAATTGAAATAAAAGAAAAAGGCAAAAGTAGATCTTGCACGTTGAAATTCACAAATTATAGTCCTTATGTCTACATTTACTTCTGATCATCAAGTCATTGAGGTCCCAGGTTCCCTAGTTAATTGGGATTGCTTGGCATCCGGATGCCCATCAGATAGTGTTAATTACTGTCACTGCTGAAAATGTAGATGTGAGCAACTGGTGCCCATCCCCACAGGATGAAGTTTCTTGCCATGACCCACCCTTTCTGTCTGACCTAACCAGAAGACATCACCTGACTGCCACAATCCTAAGTTCTGAAGCCATTTAAACTTTGCAATCAGTGCTATTCAAGCTTAATAATATTAATAGGGGTAATAAAATCTTTTAGTTGCATTTCCTTCACTCCATTTTCTCCTTCCAGCTGTCCTGCCCTGGCTGGCAGGGCCAGAGTGACTACTACCAGCAGAAAGTTGCATTCTAGACAATCAAGGTCTTCCTCCCTTATTCCTATGATATTGGGTTTGCCTGAAATGCATTTAATTCTCCCCATAGCATCTCCCACAGTGCTGCATTTTGTAGTGGTAGTTAGAAAGGCGCTGGTAACACATCAGTGTTTTGGCTCCCGCTGAGCAATGCTCACACAGCACTAAGATTGTCTTTCCAGCTTTTCCCCCTCACCGGTAGACTGGAGGTAGGCAAGATCTTGGGAGAGGACACAGCCTGGACAGCTGACCTCAACTGATCGAAGGGATATCCCATACCATAGGATGTCTGCTCCTTAATAAAAATTAAAGGAAAAGAGAAGGAGGGAACTCATTCATTATGACAACATTAGTCTTCTGGAGCAACTGCTATACCTACTGAAGCTCTGCTTCCAAATGTGTGGCTGCATATTTCCTACTAATGGGAAGTAGAGAGTAAACCTTTTGTTTTCCTTTGGTTCCACATGCAGACTTTGATTTTTTAAACATCCTTTCTTTTGACCTATGAGATTGTTTTCCAAATTATTTTCTCCTCATCTTGTCCTGATGAGGAAAGGAAGCCACTGAGCAGGTTGGGGGGCACTTGGCATCCAGCCAAGATCAACCCACCACACCTCTCCAGGATTTACCTTGCAAAAAGAAAGGAGCGATGGAAGTGGGATGCCAGTAGCAATTTTTCTGTCAGCTTTTACTCCTGTCCATTGATCGGCACACGGTGGAGTGAAAAGGTTTTTTTGACTTTTTATGACCTGCATGACATAGAACGACTTTTTACATCCTATACATAGACTGAAAAGCAATTGTCTTCAGATGGATTGTACTGTTAATTCGGCTTTGATACTAATTTATTGAATTCGGTTTGATTTCACAAGTTAGATGAGATTTTAATTCTTCAGAAATCTCAAAAGGATGAATGGCAGATAAAGGAGTAGTGTATGCCATCCCAAATTATCCATCATATGCAACTCTGATTCCAACAACAATTTCTTAGAAAAAAGGTAACATATCTGAGAAAGAAGCTCTTTCTTTTTCTTGACAGTTAGAATCTGTAAAATTCCTCTCCATAATCATTAAACAAGTACCAGTATCTTTCAGAGAATATATTATAATTAGTAGGACTGACATCTGGTCCTTTAAGTGTGTATAGTGTGCAGACAACTCTGAAACATTTCACACTAACGTAATGCAACTTGATTCTGAAATTACTTCATAAGTTAATATATTTAAAAGACCTTAAAAGGAAAATTCCACTGTGACAGATGACTTATCTTAAATAGCTTGGCCATATTTTCAGTCATCATGTTATACTCCAGATAAAGTGTATTACTGAAATAAGTTGTCACTGAAATGTATTTATTGTGCCATTATATTAAGGTAATCTTTGCCTACTCTCATTATAATGGCACCTACCTGAAAGACAAAAAGAAGAGAAATAGGAGCAAAATCTGTAACTATTTCATTAAAGAATCTTACTTCTACATGCTTCAGTTTACCTTCTTTCTTTCTTTTTCTGTAGGTTGTGACCTCATCCCAGTCCAGTATCTCCGATGGGGTGATCCTGAACCAATTGCAGCAGTTGTTTTTGCATGTCTGGGTCTACTGGCCACCTTGTTTGTTACAGCTATATTTATAATGTACCGTGATACTCCAGTGGTCAAATCATCCAGCCGAGAACTTTGCTACATCATTCTAGCCGGCATCTGCTTGGGTTATTTGTGCACTTTCTGTCTCATTGCGAAACCTCAACAGATTTACTGTTACCTTCAACGAATTGGCATCGGCCTCTCCCCAGCTATGAGTTATTCTGCTCTAGTAACTAAAACCAATCGCATTGCAAGGATCCTGGCTGGAAGCAAGAAGAAAATTTGTACAAAGAAACCTAGGTTCATGAGTGCCTGCGCTCAGCTTGTTATTGCATTTATCTTGATATGTATACAATTAGGCATAATTGTTGCCCTCTTTATAATGGAGCCACCAGATATAATGCATGATTACCCAAGCATCCGAGAGGTCTACCTGATCTGCAACACCACCAACTTGGGTGTGGTAACTCCACTTGGATATAATGGATTGTTAATTTTGAGTTGCACCTTTTATGCATTTAAGACAAGAAATGTCCCAGCTAATTTCAACGAAGCAAAGTATATTGCATTTACAATGTATACCACTTGCATCATTTGGCTGGCCTTTGTGCCAATATATTTCGGAAGCAACTACAAGATAATCACCATGTGTTTCTCCGTGAGTCTGAGTGCCACGGTGGCCCTCGGCTGCATGTTTGTTCCGAAGGTCTATATCATCCTTGCTAAGCCTGAAAGGAATGTACGCAGCGCATTCACCACGTCGACTGTGGTCCGCATGCACGTAGGGGATGGAAAGTCGTCTTCAGCTGCAAGCCGCTCCAGCAGCCTGGTGAACCTGTGGAAAAGACGAGGATCATCTGGTGAAACCCTTAGGTAATGTTTGCTAATGTGGGAGTGTGGGGAAGCAATTACGATCTTCTCAGAATTACTAAAAGTGGAAGGACAAAGGGAAATGTATTAATTCCCTTTGCCTCTGCACTGGGAGAGGAGTGAGTCCTCTGTCCCACATCTGGGTTTGATTTAGATGAAATGATGTACAAAAACAGGGGACAGAGTGATGGGCAAACAGCTGCAAATCTGGAAGCACTCACTGTGACAACTGTACACTTGAGGTAGGGAGGGAAACAAGATATTAGGAGGAAAAAACAATAGAACAAGAAATATACCTCATTGCCTTGTACTGAATGTACCCATTTACAATCTCTATCCCTTAAATAAATTGCATAGTGACTGTATTTGTCCTCTAGTCACAGCAGTAAGACAACAGAGTTGCTGCTAGTGCTACATAATTGAGGTGAAGTAATAAAACAGAAGTGGCATCATGAGCAGCCACTCTCAGGCATCTGAGAATTTGTTTCATATGACTCTTCTGTTATACCTTTAATCTTCTATTCTCTTGGTTTTCCTTTCTTGTATTATCTTTTCCTACTTTCTTTCCTTTTTGTCCTCATCTATCTTCTTTAACTTTCTTGACACCTTTTTCTGTATTCATCTGCCTAACTCCATCAAATTCAGATGCTCACAGTCCCTGCTCTTGCTACCCTTCCTGCTATTGAACAGATACTCCCTTGCGAGACATTTCTTTGTTTCTTCCCAAAGAATTATTTCATTTCAGTGACCATGAACGCAACTTGCATGTTCAGTGTATAAAAATGACTGTAAACAAACACTAAAGAGAAAGGAGAGCTCTGGAGTGGAAATACTGCCCTGTTTCATAGACAGAGTGTATAGAACTACACCCAGCCCAGGGTTTCATTCTAATCTTTTGATCCCTTTCACTTTTCATATGGGTGCTATGGGTTATTTAACTGCTGGCATAAACCGAATTCTGCCTGTATGAAAGTGCAGGGAAACAGTTTTGTCAATTCTCAGCTATACACGTCTAGCCTGGAAGTGACAAGTTAGCTAGACTTTTCTCCTCAATGAAACACACGTGGATTTTAGGATTGGCAATATCAGTACTTTCAGACATGCCATTGTTCAAAACTGGAGTTGACATGAAACAAGGCCAATTTGTGCTTCCATTTTTGTGTGAACCAGAATTTAGACTTAAAGGAGGATTTTATTAATAATACCTGCAGGACAGATTATGTCAAAGTGATGATTTGTTTCTCTCAGATTATTACTAAAACTTCACTTTCAATTATTTTGAATTGATACAGAAATGGCCAGTCTGATACAAGATATTTTGTACATATGATCAGTTGATGATGGCATCTTCCAGTCCCTTTCCAGGTGCAGAGCAGGATGCTATTTTAAGATGATAAATCTTTTATCAGATTAAGTGATGGTTACCTGAAATATTCTTTTCTACAGCTTCTGTCTGTATGCCTGAATGACCTGAGGTACTTGGGTTAGAAGCCCTATAACAATTTCTGGGCCTAAATAGGAGGATATTCTTCCTCTTCAAGATCATTATTATCTTCCCTCACTTTTGCTGCCAAGGTGATTTACATCTCACAATGTTTTTTTCTCAACAAGATGAAGTTACAGATGAGGGGAAGATCTTGGGCTTGAGAAGGATTTGTTTGTCATCATTTGGGCCCAGTGTTGAAAGATTTTGCTCTGAAGTCTTTGTTTTGTTCTGAAAAGTAAGGAGTGCACCCTGCTATTAAATAGCCTAAAAGACAAGATGTATTGTCTTCTTTTTGAGGAGTGTTTCCATTTCTTTATATACCTCAATGTGTAGATAACATCTGTGGTAGAGGGCAGGATGCAATAGATCATCATCAACAATGACTTCTTTTTCAACATCACTGTCTTGTAAATGTCTTCAATCCTGAAGAGCATTGAGAGTGCCCAATATGTGTGTGTAGGGATGAAAAAGGCATCACAAAGCTGCCTAGATATAAAGAATTAGCACAGTTCACCTGAAACTTGGAGAAAATCTTTATGTGTTTAGCAACACATAAAATTTCAATAAAGAACACGCTCCTAATGCGTGTGTCTGAGTCCTCAGATGGTTAAACTGTGAAGATGCCAGTTTGCTTAGCAGTGCTCAGTCAGTGTGTGCCTGAAGAGTCTGGGAATCCAAGAGCAAATTGATTCTGTTGATCATGAGAAATTCTCTCTAATCAATGCTTATTTTGTTGCATGAAAGAAAACAAAACAGAGTTCTGAAATGTCTGTGTAAATTTAAAACACTGCTTGGGACTTCACCTATATCTGATATCATCTTCAAGAAAGAGCAGAAAAACATTTTCAGCTTTAATTCTGTTTACTGCAGAGCAGGAACAAAAAGACCCCAACCATTTTACTTCAAATTCAAACATTCCTTAAAAAAAATCTTGATGCACAAAGTGGTATGTTTCAAGGTATTATTCAGTACAATGCTCAAAAGCTTGTTTGGATAGTTATTTAAGTAAACACTCAAGTATTCAGAATCAAAGGAAATAAGCACTGGAGATACATGTCATTATTTGAATAACTCAGAGGGATTTTACTTAAAAGAGTGAGTCACTGCTGAATTTTAAAGAAACATGCTATTTAAGTCATCAGTTCATAGAGGGCCCCCCAATCATTATTATTTTGTTTCTTGACACTAATTTATAGCACAGTGTAGTATTGCATCAAATCATTGTCAAACAGATAATGCCAATGCTCAATTCAGAGCTTTCACATCAGCTGCAAAATGACAGATAACAAGACTGCTTTTGCCTAAATAAAGCAATGCGTCTGTCAGAGTCCTAAATGACTTTTTGCACGAGGTGTTCTTCAATTAAGAAAACGTGGGCAAACTGTGGATACGTGTTGGAGTGAGTCTTCAGGTACTGAAATTTGTAGAAGGAGAGAGGAAAACTATTCATTACCTAATGAGATGAAAACCATCTCATGTTGGTTATTGTGATTCAGCAGTACTCACCAAAATATATTCTATCTTCATTTAAATGCAAGGCTAACAAACCAGACATTACCAGAAGCAATCTCACAAAGAAAAATGCAGAATGCTACATAGCTGGAGTCAATGCCACACAACCTCTGTAGAGAGGCATCTGGCTGGACCTTCTTCCAGTTATCTTGCATGTTAATTTCATAGGGAGTAGGAAGGACATAAATAAGTTGAGCAAATCTTACCCTAAGGTCCCAGGAACAATTAGCATATATGCTACGCAGTCCATTTGCTGAAGTCCAAAGTACAGGCATAATTTATCCTCTCCTCATCCTCAAATAACTGTATCCCAGTTAAGATAAGGACTGTATATTTTTTCTACAAGAGCTGCTGTTATGATATTTCTAGACAGGACTGCACACCAAAAGGTCTCAGTCCTACCAACATTTTCTCTCATCCCTTTAAATTTCTCCCCAGATCTTCACAGTGCAGCCAATGCTCCTGCTCTCCATTTCTCCCCTGTTGGTTGTAGATCCTTCAGTGGTTCCTGCCCTCAACTGCTCCTTTTGGAGGTCCCCTAACAATCTTCAAAGTTTCTAAGTTGCTTCAGCAGCAAATTCTGCACTGTTCCAGCCTGTGGCATGTCATGAGAAAATCAAGAGGAAACTGGCATCCTTCTATAAGATCAAGCTGTGACTTAGATGCAAACAGGAGAGGTATTCTGGCAATGAGGTGGGAACTTCCGAAAGAAGAATGAGGTCAGAAAATACCATTGCAATCCCAGAGAAAGGCTCTCTGCCTGGAGATTAGATGTTTATTTCATATGCATTCCCTTTTGTTTATTTTTTTAGTGGCAGTGAGAGGCAGCAGAAAGGAATTAGGCAGCTAAAGCATTTTTAACTGCCAGTTGGCCATTTTCTTTGTGATGATTGTCTTGACCCACTTACACCCGATAGAAGTTAGAGTCAAGGTGATTCGTTTTGATTGCAAGGGTGAAATTAAGACACAAACGGTGTCAGATGTCACAAAAGCAAAACCCTTTATTGACTAACAATCACTGGAGAGCGATAGGAAAGAAAGATAAGGAAAAGCAAAGCAGTAAAAGTTCAAGATAGCAAGAAGTACAGCTACCAGCACAGATCCAGCGATGTCTCGCAGGTCCGCCTGTTTCGATTCAGTGGGGAAGATCTCCACAGAATAGCTGTTCACAGTGGCATTATACAGTGTTCCAAGAGCCGCTTTGCCCATTCTCCACCTGGTTAGTCCATGTGTATGAGGGTCATGAGGAGCGATCTTCACCCCCCACAGCGTCGCCTCTGTCAGTGGAGCATGCAGAGGTGTCCAGAGGGCCCATTTTTGCCTTGCAGGGCAGCTGCCTTAGTTACACCGGTGGGCTTGCACACCCTTGGGCTTGCAAGACAGCTGCTGTATCGGGAATTGAGCCAGACCCAGAAGTTGGACTTCGAGCCCCGTGGCTTATCTGGGCTGGGCCCTGAAGTTGTTGTTTGGGACTTATCAGTGGTCCAAGCTTGCAAAGAGCGACCGTGAAGTTTCTTCATGGGCAATTTCAACACAGTCTTTTCTTCATGGGCAATTTCAGCAAGGTTGAGCCAAAATTTTAACACAGTCTCTTACAATGATGTAGGACTCATTTAGGCTTCTTCTAGCATATTCTCAAAAGGCAGAAGCTGGTAGGTGCCCTGCACAAACAAAAAAGGTCTCTCCAGAAACAATACAAGTCAGATTAACATCTTCTGAATGAGTTGGGTTCACTGAAAGTAACTATTAATTTAAGCAAAAGGACTGATCAGCACTTTCAATCTGTTACCCAGGCAGGTAGATATAATCACTCAACAAGAAAGAACCATCACCGCACCAGCAAAGTCAGATAATGTCAGTCATATTCAAGATACCTTAGATGTTTGCGGTACTGCGCATAATTCCTCAGTACAGACATGAACAGAACAATTCCAGGAAACAGAAGAAAGATGCACATTGATTTCTGCACCTATCATAGATGCTTATCCACAGCAACTCACAAATC